CACGGTGTCCCCGCAGTCCTGGGTCTCCCGCCCCGCGTTGAAGACCTGTGTCCCGACCTGCCGGACCTGGAGCGGCTGATGGGTGACATCGGCGGGCTGGCGGCGTCGGGGGCGCGCTACACGGAGATGCCGCACGTGATCGAGGTGACGCTGCCCATGCTGTGTCACTACCTGCCCCGCTGGTGGGAGCGCGGCCCCGACGCCGCCCCCCAGGGCCCCTGGGCCACCGAGGTCACCGGGCAGCAGCTGAACGCGCTGCTGGGCCACATCCTGCGCATCGTGGTCAACAACCTGGGCATCGACGAGGCCTCCTGGATGAAGAGGCTGGCGGGTGAGGGGGGCTGCGGGTCGCTGGAGGGGGTGCTGCTGGACACGGGTGGTCCTGGAGGGGTTTGGGTGGTCTTGGAGGGGTTCTGGTGGTCTTGGAGGGGTTTGGGTGGTCTTGGGTGGTCTTGGAGGGGTTCTGGTGGGGTTTGGGTGGTCTTGGAGAGGTTCTGGTGGTCTTGGAGGGGTTCTGGTGGTCTTGGGTGGTCTTGGAGAGGTTCTGGTGGTCTTGGAGGGGTTCTGGTGGGGTTTGGGTGGTCTTGGAGGGGTTCTGGTGGCCTTGGAGGGGTTCTGGTGGTCCTGGAGGGGTTCTGGTGGTCTTGGGTGGTCCTGGAGGGGTTTGGGTGGTCCTGGAGGGGTTCTGGTGGTCTTGGGTGGGTGCTGCAGGAGGTTCTGGAGGGGCTCTGGTGGCTCTGGGTGGCTCCAGGGAGGTTCTGGTGGACCTTGGGTGGTCTTGGAGGGGTTCTGGTGGTCTTGGGTGGGTTCTGCAGGTGGTCACGTGAGGTTCTGGTGGCTCTGGGTGGTTTCAGGGTGGTTCCGGGTGGGTTCTGGTGGCCCTGGCTGGTCCCAGGGTGGGTTCTGGTGGGTTCTGGTAGCCCTGGATGCTTCCAGGATGGTCCCAGGGTGGGTTTTGCTGGCCCAGGGTGGTCCCAGAATGGGTTTTGCTGGTTTCTGGTGACCCTGGATGCTTCCAGGATGGTCCCAGGGTGGGTTTTGCTGGCCCAGGGTGGTCCCAGGGTGGGTTCTGGTGGCCCTGGATGGTCCCAGGGTGGTCCCAGGGTGGGTTTTTCTGGCCCAGGGTGGTCCCAGGGTGGGTTCTGGTAGCCCAGGGTGGGTTCTGGTAGCCCAGGGTGGTCCCAGGGTGGTCCCAGGGTGGGTTTTTCTGGTTTCTGCCGGCCCTGGTGACCATTCCGTCGTCACTCTGCCCCTGCGGGCGCAGTTTTCGCGCAGCCCATCGTGAGCAAGGCGCGCCCGGAGCTGCTGCGCTCGCACTTCATCCCGACGCTGGGGCGGCTGCGGAAGCGCGCGGGGAAGGTGGTGGCCGAGGAGGAGCAGCTGCGGCTGGAGGGCAAAGCCGAGGGCGAGGACGCCGAGCTGCTGATCCGCGACGAGTTCTCGGTGCTGTGCCGCGACCTCTACGCGCTCTACCCGCTGCTCATCCGCTACGTGGACAACAGCCGGTCAGCTCGGGGGCTG